CTACCAGCTAGAGTTGCACTAAAAATGTTTTTGTCGGAATTTTATTACTATGATCTTAGTTAGATACTGATCAAATAGCATAGAAAGATAGAGCGAAAGACGCTCTATCTAATCATAAAAAAAGAAATTTCTTTTTAGCTATTTATAAGAAAAAAAGAACCTGGCCCACTACTTTTGGATAACCCTAAGTAGCTTCAATTCCCCAACTGACACTTGTTATAATATGAATAGCATTAGTTTGAAGATTTACTGATTGAATCAATTTTCTAACTTCTGTTATATCGTCTGGAAGTTTTTCAGCTTTATCCTCGTAAGAAAAATGTAGAAAACGAGTGTATTCGTTTATTGGATAAGGATAGTTGATAGTTGAGGCTAATCTGTTTCGTGGGACAATATTTAATAAGATATTTTACTGCAAATCATTTTCAATTCTAATAATCTGAAGAAAATTTTGATTTTTGGATTCATTGCCACGTATGATTTTACATTGGATAGGATCCTCCTCTATTACTCATATCTTTGTTTTGAACTATAGAATCGGAATATTGATCATAAAGTGAGCCAAGACCTCCCGAAACATCAATTACCATACGTTCTATGGAAGCCAACGATAAATTATCCGAATTGATACAATTCTTTTTGCTCATTATTGGCCTTCAGAGTAGAGTTAATTATTAATTCATGTCTAGAATATTAATGAATTGATTTTTTTTATTAAAAATGAATTAAATAAATAGGTAATGTGTATCGTAATGTTATACCAAGTAGACGATGAATAAAATATTTTAGCTTAGTGTAAACGTCGAAAAAAAGCTGTTAGCGCAATCTCGTTTAGATTTAAATGTGAAACATGACTTGATCTTACAGGAATACGTAGCTCATATATTATAACGAGATGTTATTGATATATGCTCTTTGATCATATACCGAGTGGGCCATAAGCAAGTAAACGAAGTATTTTTTTCGATTTCTGTCTTATATAGCGTCGGTTAGGCTCAATATTTATACCACATATACTAGATGATATAAGTAATAGATGCAGCAGTTAAATAATTTTTAGATGTTGTATTTAGTTCAAAAACATATAAATACAAAAAAATTCAGAAGAAGGAAACACTGATGAATTTCAACAAAACTTCTATCATACGTTGAAAAGAATAAATAGCACGTGTAGAAGTCCTCTTTATAAAGTATTTTGATTATGACACTTCATAAAAATTGTTCAATATGTTTACCTTCTAAATCCTTGCAAAGTTGAAGCCTCTCAAGCACTGACTGACAAGCACTGCGACATAATTTCACTGGTACGGTTTGCATCTCGGTGATTATAGCATCTTTTAGTGCTTGAATATTTTGAGGTTTCGTCGCATACACACGGTCTTTGAACACACTCCATACAAAAAAATCAGTTGGCGTCAAGTCTGGCGATCTCGCTGGCCAGTCAATTCATCCACGTCGACTGATCCATCGATTAGGAAATGTATCGTCCAAGAATTGTCGAATAGATTGCGCATGATGAGCTGGAGCTCCGTCATGCATATAAAATGTTTCATCTAAATGCATTTCACGTGCAATATCAGGAACAATATTTTCTTGTAGCGTTTCGAGATAGCTATCTGCAGTGATATTATCACGAAAGAAGAATGGCTCGATGATCCCTCCGACCCAAATTCCAGCCCATACAGTAACGCCTGGTGCATTCATTTCTTCAGTAATGACGATATGAGGGTTTTCTATAGCGTAATAGACGCAATTGTGTCGATTGACGTGACCATTTAACTTGAAAATGGCTTCATCTGTCCAAACGATTCGACTAAGAAAGGAAGAGTCAGCATCTATCAAGTTCAAAAACTTCTCAGCAAATTCACAACGTCTCTCAGGATCATCTTCATTTAAAGCATGCAGTAATTGGGGACGATATGGCTTCAATCCCAGTTCCTTCATCATTCGTCGACGACTACTTTGAGACAAATTTAGTTCCAAAGCAGCTCTTCTTGTTGAAGTTTCAGGGTTTTCTTGAAAAGCGGCAAGAACACATTCTTTGTTCTCGTCAGTGCTGACAAATCTAGATCGACCAGATCCAGGCGAATCCTGGACACTTCCAGTTTTGTCGAATTTTTGTACAAGATCCAAAATGGCATACCATTTCACTACTTCGATTCTTTCCAGTGACGACAAACGAAAACTTCCACTCATTATGAAAAAAATCCGAAAAATTACACAGTTATAGTTATACAATCAACAGAAAATGTAAAACGAACCAGAAATAAACCAGTCGATGACATAGATCACCATTCGTATTGTTGTCTCCTAGATGCCACTCTCAGTACATATATGAGTGCCACAAAAGAGCAATAAATAGTGCGGGTTATACTTTTATATATACTCTATATCTGTTTTTGAACTAAATACAACATCTAAAAATTATTCAACTGCTACATCTATTGCTTATATCATCTAGCGTATGTGGTATAAATATGAAGCCTAACCGACGTTATATTAGACAGAAATAGAAAAAATACTTTGTTTACTTATTTATGGCCCACCCGGTATATAGTTAAAAGCTGTTCAGACTCGCATGAAAACAGTCTTAACAGATTCTTTTTGTTGATAATCCACTCAAGGTAGTTTATGGGATAAAGCAATTATGGATTACTTTAACGTTCCATGCATCTTTGTCCCTGCGCCCTCTTACACACTCAAATGACAAAGAACTAAATAATTCTTTCACGTGTGCCTTTTGCTTTTTCACCATTATTATCATAACAATGAACTAAGTAGTTCTAGGAAAATTTCTAAAGAAATCGTGATTGAATGTGACTGATCTGGTCACTACACCTGAATCAATCAAGTATTGTAACTTCGACGTTTCACATACATATCATTCATGATAATCAGTCCACTTTGGTTTGAATTTAGTGAGAAAGATTGAGAACAATGACAAATAATCGATATCTCTTACTAAGAATTCATAATGCAATTCACTTTAAGATTAATTCGAAAGTCGAGTACTATTGCAATGGTATACAACACTTTTCTCGTAATTCTAAAACTAGAACTTAATCGGAATTGCGCCACCTTGATGCTACACACTAAGGAATGTTATGACGATTATTTTCACCACTACTTAGTGTTGGCAAGATCTTAAAAGAATTTCACCAACACGTTTCAAAAGTTTTACAAAAACTTATTGCTGAAAAAGAGTAGCATTACGCGAATTCGCTGGGAATGCGACGGTATCTTTGTTGTCCATTTTATATGTGAGCTAATGAGAGTATTAATTAAAAATTCTTTTCTTTTATGTAGTTCTAAAATATCTTGACATGTGTAAATGTCGAATCCACAAACGATCAAGTGTAATATTTAAAATATCTTTCAATCAAAATGAATCGATCTGTGCTCCATGCTCGTGTGAGATACAATCGAGAAATGAGTCGACCGAATGGTCATCTGCAATACATGTGAGCTACATAGTTGACTGACTAATATAACTACTTAGTATAGTCATCATCTTAGAACTCATATCAACTAAAGTCATATCTAATATGAAAATCATATTGATGTATGTCTCTGAATTTCTTGACAGGGTGTTTTCGTCTCGACATTACTTACTATCATGAAATAGTCGTATCGACAGTAGCAATGAAGACTTGCAGAATATGGTGCTTTTAGCACGTGAGACTTCATTTAAATATTCTTATGTCGCGTGATTCATTTGCTAGTTTACGATGACAATAACATTCTTTCCTTATCAACCTTTAGAGTCCTTCGTGTAGACGTGTTTCAGAGACAAACATTAACGAAAACACTAGTCCCACTCATCTTAAATTCAATATTGATAGTGATAAGTTGACTATCCGAGGATGGATTTTTTCTCCAACTTAGACACATACCGACATCCTATTCATCATAACGATATAAATCAACGAAAATTTCTCTCAGTGATAGTAGATAAACTTACTTTCTTCCTTAAACTCAAATGGATTGAAGTATATCTTTAAGATAAATGTGAATTCCGAACAAACCATAAAAAGAGCGCTTTGAATTAAAGCAATAAAAAACAATAAGTGGCTCAATCAATCTTGAAGTCTATCAAATAAATCGTCAATGAAATATACGAAGTAGATAAAAATCTTGTTTTTGCTTCCTACTGTTGTTTCAACACTACCCGTTTCATATTGACATTGAAAAACTATCATCAATAACGAAAAACTCCTATTGAAGCAAAATAAAGAGTTTATTTCAATTACAAAGTTCTATGGGATAAGAACAAGATGTTCTGCATCAAGCTTATTAAGAGAATTTCTTCAAAAGAGCACCTTACTTGTAAAGTTATGTTCAGATTGAATGTGAGTTTTGGGTCAGAAAGAAGATTCTTTCGGTCATCTTTCTTCCTTCCTATATAATTCAATTTATCCTTACTTCGAAAACATATGCAATTCTTTCTCAAAAAATTCTTCACTCATGTTACAAGTCGAACATTTCGCCACGAAGGTAAAAATTTTCTTTCATTTCAACAATTTGATTATGTGGATTATCAATAGCATCGATAATCAAATCTGAAATTGTAATCATTCGATAAATTCAGTGACAAAGTTTTCTTCTGAACGGATTAAAAATCACTCTGACTTATAGCAAGAAAAATAATAGTGAACAAGCAGAATCGCTATATCAATTAAAAATTCCATTTTATTCAAGCTGATCACCAATACCTTCAACGGTTCGAATACTTGAATGGAGATAGACTCCAATAAACCGAGATCGTCTAATAATTCACTATCGACAATACAATTGTCAGCAAGATTTATTCTACTTGATCTCATACACTGATGCATTATTCATCATCATGATTCAGATCTATGTATGCATTAATAAGACATGAACGCAAGCTCCTAGGTGCACTCCACATGAGATGACAGTTTGTAATTTACTTTCATAGTCATCGGTTTTAACAAACGGCGAATATATCTTTGCAGTTTTCTTTGCTTCCTTCATTCCTTTCTGTTGCATAAAATTTACAGAAAAAAACTAAACACAATCACTGTTTCAAGATAAGCAACAACTACCATTAGCAAAGGTATTATAAGTGACTACGTAAAATTGATAAGACGATAGCTTTTCAATTAAAAAGCTCATTTATGAGAAATTATCACTAATCGAAAATCACAAGTAGATAGTGAAGAAAACAGAGAGACGACTAAACATTGAATAAAAAAGCATCTGAGTCGTTTATATAATTCAAATATGAAATGTCTTCCCAAGAGATAACGTGATGGCTCCATCTGATGCTAATAAAGACTTGTCAGTAGTGGACCCAGAGCAAGAGCCTGTAGT